CCAAGTCTCCATTTGCAAAAGCAAGAAAAAAAAAGATTAAAATAAATCACCCACATCTAGACAGAGACGTTCATATGTAAAATGCATTTTTTATTCCTTTCCTGTCTTTGACCTCCTTCTCCTTTATCCCTGAATTTATGAAACTTTCATAGATTAGTTGAATTCAGTAAGCTCTCAAATGAATTAAGAATAAAGTGAAAATACATAATAAAGTAAAAAATATAGTAGTTTGAGTTTTGGAGAATTTAAAACCACAGCTCACATTATATTCTGAAATGAATTCTAGAGAGCTTGAAAAATTAAAAAAATATATATATAAACATATATATTTAATATACATTTATTATATATATTTTATAATATAATATATATATTTAAAGTAGAAGAAAACAGATAGAATATTTATTAAATCTCTGGAAATGGAAGAATTTCCACAGCTTAGAAGGCGATTCAAAATCATAAAGGAAGGATGAGCAGGTTTTACTTTGGTACCTAAAAAGTAGGATTTATTTACTGCAAATACAATGGTTTAATGTCTATAACACATAGCAGAACACACAAAAAACAATTTTAAAGGGCCTAGTAAGTCAGAGGGCACAGGATGGGAAGAAATAATTCATAAAAAAGAGAAAATGTAACTCTTGGGCACTCTTGGAAACACTATATCTTGGTGTTCTTGGGCATTCTTGGAAACAGTATAAATTGCTGTAACCATTTTGGAAAGTAGTTTGGCAATACCAATTGTGAATATTCACGTAAGAATATGCGTGCCCTTTAACCCAACAATTTTATTTCTCAGAGCTTGTATCACACTAATTGTCCTAAATATGAGAGGGAAAGATTCATCACAGCATTTTTTACTATAACACAACAGTATACAGTCCAGCAATGAGAAAGGTCAAATACAGTATATCTACTCAGTAGATCTGAGTCTAACTATTAAAAAAAAAGGAAAGAAAGAAAATACTCTCAAATCCTTTCCCTACTTTTCCAAATTTCATTTACTGTAGCAACATTACTTATTGTCTTAGGATCTGTCATGTGGAGACTACATCGCCTCCCTGGATGAAATGATTATTCTTTTGGCTGTAGTGATAATGACATATAAACAAGCCATGTAGAGGCATAGGCTGATGGAAGTTTCCCTTCCCCCAGGAGAAGAGGAAACTTCAGCTTCTTCCTCAAGCACTCAAGGCAGCAGCTTGCAGATGGGGTAGGCACAGAGGAGTCTCACTTTGTGGGTGAGCCCCAGTGAGCACCAGGGGCTGGCCACCCACTCTCTTATTGTTTCACTCAGGCAAGATAAGTAAAAGTGCTCCTGGGTACCCAGTCGGAATATTCTTTCATCATATTTGGGCCACGACACAGTGGGTTATTTATAGTAATTTGCAAGCATTTTATAAACCAAAGGCAAATTCCAATAAGCTATTTTAAAATGACTTATGTTCTTGGCCAGGCATGGTGGCTCATGCCTATAATGCTAGCACTCGAGGAGACCAAGGCAGGAGGATCAGGAGCTCAAGGCCAGCCTGAGCAAGGGGACCTAAAAATAGAACAAAATTAGCTAGTCACAGTGGTGTGCACCTGTATTTCCAGCTATTCTGGAGCCTGTGGCAAGAGGATCACTTGATTTTAGGAGTTTGAGGTTGCTGTGAGCCACGATGACGATACTGTATTCTAGCCTGGGCAACAGAATGAGACTTTGTCTCTAAGAAAAATAGAAAAAGATACATGTTCTCCTTTCTCATTGCAGAAATGCTGTTCTCCCTTGTTAGGAACATCCACCCCTTTACATAGCTTGCTATGAAAACACGCCTTGCTCTCCTGAGAATGAAAGCAAATGTTACAGGTGGGTATGAGTGCATACATGGAATAGATCTGGCGGGCTGGTTCTTAGGCTCCAAGATGATTTTCTCGGGGATCTTCCATAATATTGTTTGAACTCTACGGCAGCAGACCCTAACCTTTTTGGCACTAGGGACTGGTTTTATGTCTAGGGAAGAGAATTTTTTCACGGATGAGGGGTGAGGGGGGTGGGACAGGAGGCAGAGGTCAGGTGGTGATGCATGCAATGGGAAGTGGACGGAAATACAGGTGAATCTGTGCTTGCTGGGCTTCGGCTCACCTCCCACTCACCTCCTGCTGTGTGGCCCAGTTCCTGACTGGTGCTGATCCAAAGCCCAGGGGTTAGGGACTGCAGCTCTAAAGTACAGCCCCCCACACATGCACATGTATACACATGCGTCAGAGGACCCTGGGCAATGCCACACCATAAGAACACTGACAGTGTTACGGTGGTTTCCAAGAGGTGCTTACAATCAGGAAGTGGTAAGGATAAGAGCAAGGCTCTGCGGTTGAGATCTGGATTCTACTCCTATGTGGTCTTGGGTAGGAAGCTCTTAACTGAAGAGACAGTGCCTGTAGAGTCAGCAGTCTCTGTCTGTAGTTATTCTAAACAAGGTCCCATGTGTAGCTAAGTATTTGCATGTGAGTGTCAGGGACCTGGAATGTCCAGAGCTGATAGCTACTCTGGGAAATGTGATTCTTCACTTCCTGTCCACTGTTCCTACCTGCTGCTCTCTGTGGTGTAGATTTAGAAGAGACTCTGTAGAAGGAGGGGCTGGAAAGGAGAATCACATGCCTCTTGGTTCCCTGCTCAGCTCAGAAACAGAGTTCCTTCCTCCTGAGATGAGAGGGCACTTTTGCACTTCAGGACAGTGATGCATTAAGTATTAGAGCTTGGAAGACAGCCTCCTTGGTTTGGTAGAGTTCTTGAGGTGAAACCACATTAGAGAATGCAATCACGGAAGATGGTTGATGTCTGGGAGGTGTGGACTTACTCTGGAGCATGTGGGACACTCCTGCAGGCCTTCGGAGATACTTGACAGCATTCCGTAGGACTGCTGTCCTTCAAAAAGGTGGGTGCACTGAAGCAGCAGAAGTTCAATTGTTAAAGGAAACTCATTATACCCATGGGCTGAAGAGACTTGAGAACATGTATGTCTTGTTTCGAATGAAAAAGCCGACCTGGCACAGTGGCTCACAGCTGTAGTTCTAGCACTTTGGGAGGCTGAGGTGGGCGGATTGCCTGAGCTCAGGAATTTGAGACCAGCCTGATCAAGAGTGAGACCCACCTCCACCGTCTTACGCCCATCTTTAAAAAAAAAAAATAGCTGGACATTGTGTCGGGTGCTTGTAGTCCTGACTACTTGAGAGGCTGAGGCAAGAGGATCACTTGAGCCCAAGAGTTTGAGGTGAGCTATGACACCACAGCACTCTACCAAGAGCAACAAAGTAAGATTCTGTCTCAAAAAAAAACACCCCAAAACAAGGAGTGAACAATCCAGTAGATGGTACTCTGGTGATGGCAAGATGGTAAATTACAAGCATTAAGAAATGGGCAGGAGCAAGAGTGGGTAGGGGCTTAAGTTGCCAGCAAAGGTTGTTAGATACTGGAAGCTCCCACTTTCCTGAAAAAGTAAAGCTCTTGAGGATTATTCTAACTTTAACAATAGGCTTCAGCTATTATTTAACCTCCATTTTATTGTGAAATGATGTCACACAAAAGATGTATAAAACAGTCTTCTCATATTTAACTGACAGTCTTGAATTTATAGGGATCAAAGAGTTACACCATTCATTTATAGATCAACAAAGCAGGTCTCAGAGAAATTGAGATTTATCCAAGTTTACACAGTTAATGGTCATATTTTGCTTTTTCTAAAGAGCCAATCTTGCTGTTTTACATTCTGTATTTTTTTATACTACTGCTGAAAATTGGTCTCATTTAAAAAATCTCATTCAAATTCAATTTCATAAGTCTTCCCCTAGAATACATACATACACACACACACACACACACACATAAATTTTTTTAGATAGAATCTCACTCTGTTGCCCAGGCTAGAGGTGTCATGGCTTCAGCCTAGCTCACAGCAACCTCAAACTGCTAGGTTCAAGCAATCCTTTTGCTTCAGCCTCCCAAGTAACTAGGACTACAGGTGCCTGCCACCGTGACTGGCTAGTTTTTCTATTTTTAGTCAAGATGCGGACTCACTCTTGCTCAGGATGGCTTCAAACTCCAGAGCTCAAGGGATGCTCTCACTTCAGCCTCTCAGAGTGCTAGTATTACAGATGTGAACCACTGTACCCAGCCCTAGCATATACTTTTTGATAGATATCACATGTAACGACTTTCCTTTTTTTAAATTGAGATGTAGTCTTACTTTGTTTCCCAAGCTAGAATGCTCCTAGCTCATAGCAAACTCAGATTCCTGGGTTTGAGTGTTCCTCTTGCTTCAGCCTCCCAAGTAGCTGGGACGACAGGCACCTGCCACTGTGCCTGACTAGTTTTTCTATTTTTAGTGGAGATGGGTCTCGCTCTTGCTCAGGCTGGTCTTGAATTCCTGAGCTAAGGAGATCCACCTGTCTCAGCCTCCCAACGTACTAGGATTACAGGTGTGAGCCACCGTGCCTGGCCTGTAATGACTGTCTACAGGTCATCCTTCTTAAAACTCCAGCTGATTTCTCATTACAAAACCATGTAGAAGGCATGTTTCTAGGAATACTTAAGAAAGAAGCGGCAAGTCATTTATTGAAAAATCCATTTATTTTGTTGGGAAAATAATAGTGTCTTATGTTCACTTCAAAATTTATAAATACTTTCTTATATAAAACATGTAACCATATTTCTGTTTTACTTATATCAGTGTTTATTTTGTTTCTTGGAGCTTTCTAACATTTAAGAAATGATTTTCCTTAACAGAGACCGAAAATTTTTAAAAAAGGAAAATAAACAATAAATGTATTAAAATAACTTACTTAAATACTCTAAATGGAATTACAAATGGAAGACCTATTTTGTTAAAGCACCAGTGTGCAGGCAAAGAGCTATAAACTTTAAAATTATACTAAAACTTAGGGTTACAGAAAAGTGATTCTTCCTGGCTGGCGGAACTTTGAGTCCATTTGAAGTCTAGCAGGAGGGAAAAGTGCTTTAGAGAGGGCCACATTTTCAGTTTACTTCTCTTGATTCCCCTCTCTCAAGATTCAAGCTGCAGTTGTCTAAGCAAACTATCCATTAATTGGGTCTACATTTCTGAGGGAGAGGAAGCTCTGTAATTTATGGTCAAAGTCAATGGCTCTAAACTGAGGTTCCTTGTATTTTCTGGTCATCTTGGCGCCCAAGTACGTTATGAGTTCACATCTCTCTACGAACTGTTCCATCTTCTTCTTGTACTTTTTTCTTGTGTATTCAGAACTTCTGGGATTAAATGCTATAGAAAATGTCATAGAACTGTGAATTTTTCTATTAGATTCGTGAGTCACTATGTAAAGAGAAGGAGAGCTGGACAGGTGATGGAGTGGCATAGTTATGGTTGAGAAGATGCCAAAATCTCTAATGAGATTTGGGGATTAGGGTCGTAGTTGCCTGTATCACCTTTGTCTATGGCATGGATTTTTGACAGCTAACTGTATCACTCATAGTCCCTGCTTTGTAAACTAGAAGTTCAATTTCTATGTTTTCTATAAAATATTTTCCCTGCCCTGTATTGTGTTTGCCACCAAATTGCGCTCCCTCTCTCTGCACCGAGTAACCAATCCAGTTTAACAAGCTTTTCATGACATATATTACCATTAATGTCAAATTAGTTCTGAGTAGCATATCATTAAAAAAGACATACCTTTTAGATGTAAAGCCATATATAGTAGTGCGGATCTCCTTACACTCAAGAAGGGGAATTTGGGCTTTAAGCATCCTGCTGCGTTCATTGCTTTAATTAGAGCAGTTGCGGTACCCTGCAGGTAGGGAACAATTTGAATTATGTGTATATTTAAGTTTCGTTTCTTTTCTTAGCGTAAATAAATAAAGAGGCTTATTCCTTGACTCAAATAGCCTCTTGGGGGTGGGGATGGGTCTTTTCTTTTAAAGATGATTTGATGATTACATAGCCCATGGGGAGGAAACACAATATATATGTAATTAGGAAAATGAAAAATTAAAAATTGGCTTAGTGTCAGCGGGGTGATGGATACATGTATGAGCTTCATGTGTTTTTTTAATGTGTGACATTTTCCATTAACAAAAAACTAAAAAAAAAAAAAAAAAAAAAAGGAAGAAGGAGACATTGAGGTTTGGGTCGTCTTGGCCCAGGTCTGCTTTCGTTTTCAGAACTGGCCACATTGCCTGCCACTATAAGGACTCTTGGCTACCTGCCAAGGATTTTTAGTCTCTGCAGTACTCACTGCAGGATTCTGGAGCCTAGAAGAATATAAGAGGCACTCCCAATAACTGCAGCATTTATAAGAAGACTCCTTTTGGGGTGAGCCTCACCTAGAATTTTGAAGTTAAATCAGGTTGAAGGCTGACCTTCTAGGCAAGTTGAAAAATGAAAATGGGTAAGGCAGTGGCTCACGCCTGTAATCCTAGCACTCAGGGAAGCCAAGGCCGGTGGACTGCTTGAGCTCAAGAGTTCAACACCAGCGTGAACAAGAGTGAGACCCCTGTCTCTACTAAAAAAATAGAAAAAACTGGCCAGGCATTGTGGCACTTGCCTATAGTCCCAGCTACTTAGGAGGCTGAGGCAAGAGGATCCCTTGAACCCAGGAGGCTGAGGTTGCTGTGAGCTATGATGATGCCATAGAACTTTATCCAGGTCTATTGATTGAGACTCAGTCTTAAAAAAAAAAAAAAAAAAGGAAGAGAGAAAATCAAAGTGGTTAAGAATCTCTGACAAAGGTCTGAAGTTGTGCCTTTATTCTGTAAAAAAAAATTTTTTTTTAAATAGCTTTAAAAATAGTAGTTGGCTGCTGTTAAGTTTCACTATTTGTTAAAAAGAATAAAATTTGGATAAATAAGATGTGATGTGTTGATACCTTCCTTCATCTGCATTTTGGGCAAAATACGGGCTTTGTGATTCAGTGGTTGTGATATTGTCACCCAAACTTTTTCAGTAATGAATGAACTTTGCAGAGACTGAATCCATACAAATTATGAAAAAGTCTTATGGATGCTGAAATTCAAAAACAAGAACCAAACGACATGTCCGTGTCAACTGTAAATAATTTTATGACATCCACTCTCTTTTCACTTTGGTGCAGATATCTGGGAATTAGCTATAGAAGCAGGGATTTTCACACAGGTAATTTAGACCATCACCTGTAAACAAAATAGGTTAAGGGTGGATTTGCAGCTAAAAGTCAGAAAACTCTGCCTTGAATTTTATTGTTACCAAAATGAGAATTATTGTTAGAAAGGAGATATTGTTGGCCTTTTCTAACATGTATCACAGAACATTGTGTCACAGAACCTGTTCCAGGTATCCGGGCAAAGGAAGACTGGTAAGCAGTATCGGTTCCCTTAACGGGGGCAGTTTGTTTGGAAGCTTCTGATTCCAGTATTTCATCGGTGACCTAAGAACACAAAGTTCAGTAAATGGAGGCTCACAAATACACTCAGTGTATGTATATGGGAATATACAAGAGGCAGTTAAAAGATAGACTGCACGACTTGTTTTTCTCTGCTGTAGAAAATCATACAAGTGGGACGATTTGGGGCTCCTGAAAGCTCATAGCCCTCCACCCACCTGGGTCTCATCTATGCCCACCTATCCTCAGCAACTGTATAAAACTTTATTCCTCAAATGTCTGACTCTCCCAAGGGCGCCCTCACCCTCAGGCACCTGCTGTGCTTTACAGCCGTCAGGTGGGATTTCCTCAGCTGCTCCTCTCAAGCAGAGGCTCCTCCCATCCAAGGCCAGTCCCCGCCCACACCTTGGGTCCCACACGCCTTCTCCAGGCCCTTGACCTTGCAGTTTCTCCCTCTCCCTCACATCTTTGGCATTTCCTTCTTTATTGGCTCCTTCCCATGCTTCTGCATTTAAACATCTTCATAATTTCCCCATTAAAAGAAGAAAAAAAAATCCAACAAACCGCCTACATTCCTTAAATCTTACATTTTTTTCCAGCAACCCACATCTATTTTCTTTCTACAATTAAACAACTTCTGACTGACCCTCACTAGAGATCACAAGCTACTGCACCAAGGCTATCTGCAGATGTGATTTGATCCGCCTGGTATTTTATTTTTAAATTTGAATCAATCATGAGTGTTTGAAGAGCTGAACAATTGAAAAAGAAATTTGCTTCTTATGAAAAGCAGCAATGTCTGGCAATGGGTGAGCAGTTGTCGCTCCCTGCTCGGCTAATTTTTTTCTATTTTTAGTAGTGATGGGGTCTGGCTCTGGCTTAGGCTGGTCTCTAACTCCTGAGCTCAGGAGATCCACCCGCCTCAGCCTCCCAGAGTGCTGGGATTACAGGCGGGAGCTGCTGCGCCCCTAGTTTCTTCATCTCTCCCCTTCAGAGCTCTGTGGCTGACTTCCACTCACTTAGCTTGAACAAACCTTTCTTGCCAAGGTCACTGATGAGTGAGCTACTGCAATCTCAATCTCACACACTTTGCAGCTCTTGACTTACCCAACTTCTAAGCAGCACTTAAACCTGTCTGCCATTCCATCCCAGAGGCTTTCTGTCCCCCACACCATTGTCCTTTCTCAGCCTCTGTCCCAGCTCTTGGCATTTCTCAGGCAGTGACCTGAAGCCCACTGCTTTCCCCACCCGACTCTTATAGGTTAATTTAAAGATGCCATCAGAGATTGGACAGGACTACTCCGACAGCCTCAGAACTGGTCTTCCTGCCTCCGACATTATCAACACTACAACGGTGATCTCACTCCAGAGCAAACTTGTTTATGACGCTGACCTGACTTACAACCAGTGGATGTATTCCACTTGCCCTTAGGTCAAGTACAAACCCCTTCCTGGTGGTTTTATTTGACCATCTCTGGCCCTGCTCCCCACCTCCAACCTCACCTTTTCTCCTTCCTCCCTCTCAAGGTCACATCCTCCTGCCATGCTGAATTCCTTGCGGTTCAGTGATCTCCTGGCTCAGGTTTGCAAGTGGGTCCCTCTGCTTGGAACGCATGCCTCCTTCCCCTCATCTAGCCAAGTCCCACTCTTTATTCTGGCCTTACCCCAAAGGACAATTCAGTCAGATCTTCAGGTTACACTGTCCCCAAAGTCCAGGCATTCCCCACCCTAAACTCCATCATATTCTGTTGTTATCAGATTCTTAAAGACTATCTTACTCAGGCTTTGGATGGCAGAGACCAGTCCTTCCTTGTTCACCATTTCTCTCTCTCTCTCTCTTTCTCTCTCACATACACACACACACACACACACGCACACACATCTCCCCTGCTCAGTTCCCAGTATGTTGCATAGAACAGAGAAAATATTCAATAAATATACGTGACTCAGTGAACGGTCTCACCTCAAAAACTTCTGGAGTTTTTCGTTACTCTCACAAATATATATATGATCACGATATTCCACAGCATAGTCAGTGTTACCAGGTACTAGGGCTTCATATCTGGACAACCAAAAAATTAAAAACATTTTAAAAACCAAACCAAAAAAACCCCTGTTGTACACTTATTATGCAAAACTGTATAAACAAAACGTCAAAATGTTTAATTTTTGTATCCATGCACCTCAAGGAAGAAATAGATCATTTTTTTCCAGCTAAACAATAGCAACCTCTTGACAAAAACATCGTTATACAAGCTACTCGTTCTGAGTGGAGCTATCGTTCTGTATTTGCGTGAAGGCGACGACTTGCCTTTGCTTCCCATCTTGATAGGTTACTGGGCAGTAGCCCTGGAGCTCGGCACTCTTGGGGAAGCGACTCTTCAGCTCTGAGGGTGTCAGCCTTTTGGGGAGCATGTCATCAGTCGGGAGTGGATGAGGTGCTAAGGGAGGCACGTACAATTCCGGGTTCTCCAAGAATTTCTGTTAGAAAAGGATCACAGGGTTAGGGTGGGGAGGAAGGGGTGGGTGATGGAAATTACATTATTTGAGTGATAGGTACCTTAAAAGCCCCTACTTGGCCATTTTGCAATCTATCAATGCAACAAAACTGCACTTGTACTGAAGGGTTATGTAGCAAGACCATTTAAAACAGGTGCTCTATGCCAGTCAGAAACCCATCAAAGCTCTCTTACATTTTGCCCAGGTTCATTATTGGGGTTCTGAGGCTCCTGCACTGTAGTAACTTTTCTTCTGAGTGGACGTTCATTCCTGAGTGATCGCATTTAAGCTCTCTCCTAATCTCACTCACTCATTCATTCATTCCTTCACACACAAAAACCTGTTGCAGTCCTATGACATGGTGGGCCTTGGCATGTGCACAGTCACCTGCTGGCCTGTCTTCCTGTCCTGAAGTGTAATTAACCAGTTTGGCAAGTGAGTTAACATCTCCAGCTTCCAGTATTGCTCTGTCAAGTGCCTGGGGTGGGCCAGATACACCATCTCTATTGTCATTCCAGTTTTCAAATTCTGTGAGTACCATTTAAATAAGCAGGAATGTTTTTATTAAAAAATTCTAATTCTCAGAGAAAAATCAAATGTTCAGAGGTGTCTTTGTTTTCATTATTTGTTTTCTTTTTTTTTCTTTTTTTTTGAGACAGAGTCTCACTTTATCGCCCTCGGTAGAGTGCCATGGTGTCACAGCTCACAGCAACCTCCAGCTCCTGGGCTTAGGTGATTCTCTTGCCTCAGCCTCCCAAATAGCTAGGACTACAGGCACCCACCACAATGCCCAGCTATTTTTTGTTGTTGTTGTTGCAGTTTGGCCAGGGCCGGGTTTGAACCCACCACCCTTGGTATATGGGTCCAGTGTCCTCCTCACTGAGCCACAGGTGCCACCCCATTATTGTTTTCAACTACCAATCTTTTTTGTCTCAGCGTACCAAGTAGCTGGGACTGCAGGAGCCCACCACAACTCCTGGCTCTTGTTTTTGGTTGTTGTTGTTGCAGTTGTCGTTGTTTAGCTGGCCCAGTCTGGGTTCAAACCCACCAGCCTTGGTGTATGTGGCTGGCACTGTAACCACCATGCTACGGGTGCTTAGCCAACTACCAATCTTTTTATATCATCGAATTATGGGCAATATAGTATCAGAACAGCTCTATATTCTGTTCTATTAAATGAAAATATAAGGCATATGGGAAATTGTAGTGATGGAAATATTTAAAGAACAGGAGACGTACGCCAAGTCTTGCTTCATTTTCCCCAACTCGGACCTTCCTTCAGCAGCCCCCGAGCTGAATCCTCTGGATGCCCAGCTCTGGGTAGGGCCCTTGATTTTCAGCACCCCCTATATTGGTGGGGCTCCCCATTGGCTCTCCCACGTGTTAGGCTGGCCCAGGCCAAAGGCCTGTCCCAGACCCTGCTCTTCTGGAATGTTTCTAGATACATCCTGGAAGTTGTTTCACTGGTCCCAGAGTCTCAGGTTCCAATAGTGGGGCTTCTGATCCCAAGTTTCTGGGTGTTTCCATCCGTGTGTCCACCCCTTCCTATTAGATGAATCCCAAGATGAGACATTTCCTTCTTTAGGGAATAGTTGGAGTTAGAAACAAACTTACATTCAGTTTTTCCTGAGAACTCATTTTGTAATAGTGTCCCCTGAACTCTGCTGCAAATTCCAAGGAGCTGGATACAGAGCAATCAAATAATTCCTGTGCTTCTGCCAGGCTGACAGGGCAGAACTGCCCAAACTCCCCCAGGCGAGAAAGCAGCTCTTGTGGTGTGATACATAGCTTGTCAATGCAGGCAGCTTTTCCTGTTATTAACATGTTCACTGTTATTATATTTTGTCATAGAGTACAGAGTGATTGAGAAAACTCAAATAATTCGGACTACATAGCTCTATACAAACATGCACACATTATAAAATTCCAAAGGGTAGAGGACAAAGTAAAAGTTACTATTTACACTTCCCTCCTCTCAATCCAGCACTTCTTGGGAGAGGTAATTACTGTTGGGTTTGTATCTTTTTAGTGTTTTTTTTTCTCTATATTTGCACATTTTTGGGGGGCATAGATCATGCTTACATACACTGTACTGTAAACATTATTCTCCAACTTGCTTTATATCAGTTATAGTCTGTAATATCTTTCTGTATAAGTTTATATGACTCACCTAATTGTTTTTAATTGGTATGAACTGTTCCATTGTATAAATATACAGGCAATTTACTTAACCACTTATCTACTGATGAATGCTTTGGCTCTTGTAGTTCTCAGCTATCATAAACTATATAAACACACACAATTCCTACATGTTTGTGTGAGTGCATACATATATAAATCTGCACATATTTTAAAAATATCTATGGGATAGATTTCAGGAAGTTCAAATAGTTTGCTGACATGTTACACAAATTTCCCCCTGTGCCCAGATGCCACTCCAGAGAAGGGAAGAAACATTTATGCAAATGTGACTGGTTTTACCCTACAGAGTCTATTTTGAAAAGAAAGGGCCCAAGTTCCTTGAATAGACAAGTTTAAAAGTTTTTCTCTCCAATACTCCGCTGGAGTGGGGGACTTTAAAGCAAGATGAAATGTGATAGAAAATAAAATTACTTTTTTATACATTTTATTTATAATGAGTAAAATTTGATCCCAATATATTTTAATGCTTCTTTCACTAGAGAAAAGTTTCACCTTTTTTTTTTTTTGGTTATGCCTAGGAGGGTCTTAATTTAACTAGAACATTATGAAGCGTAAGTTATAGTGTGGTTTGTGTGTTAGGATAGGAGTGATTTCCCTTGAGATAAGCTATCACAGAACTATAATCCCTTACCTGAAACCCTTGAGGCAAGATATATTGCCTAATATAGAATATTAGAAATATATTAGTAATATATCACCCCCTTTCAGGGTCCAGGCAGCACACTGTAATCTATGACATTAAATTTCTCCAACCAAATGGGACAGCCCTTTCCCACCAACTGGAGTACACGGAGACTATGAATGGCCACAATTTTGCCTTGAAATGATTTAAGAGTAAATGAGGTTTTCAGAGGGTTTGAGCTTTCGAATCACTGGCCAGAGGTGTGGACTGTGCCATGTCACCCTATTGCCTCAGCAATCTGCCTGCTCTAAGGGGAAGGAGGCTGTGGGAGTCCAGGAGATGACATCCCCTTCCACTATTATCCCCACTTCCCCCAACGGCCAGACTTAATTCTGAAAAGGAGAAGGTTGGGAAGCCAGGCCCAAAGTGGTTTCCCTCACGCAACCTTTTCACATTTTGCTTTTAAATGGGGGTGGAGTGGGCGTGAGGGCATAGAATAAAAGGTCTTTGTTAACTTAGTATTCCTTTAAGTCATTGTAGCCCTCCTTCAATAAGGCAGGCATTTGAAACCATTGCTTATTGGTTGTCGTCCCCCATTCCTCTCTTGAGAGCAAATAATCATTCTATTCCCCAGAACGGTTGTTTCTAATGCCGTGACCCTTTAATATAGTTCCTGTGGGTCACAACCCACAGGTTGAGAACCGCTGTCCTAGAAGGTCTTTAGCAGGTACTGAAGACAGTATAATATTTTCCAAAATGGTGAAACATTAGACTCAACAGAGTCAACAAAGGTCAGTTAGAAACCCCAACTCTACTTTGAGGCCTTCAAGAAAGGACACCAGCCCTGAAAGCCGGATCATATCATCGGATTTTGGTCTTCTCTGAAGAGTTCAGAGTGCCAGCTGGATAGGCTCTCCTGAATGTCTTTGTACATCTTTCACAGAATTAGAGAAGGGTTTCTAGGGTAGCATTACTGGCCTTAAAACAAAGGGACGTTGAAACTTACCAAACTGACCACATAAATTCCCATTCACTCTATTAATCTGAACATAAATCTGATTGTGAATTCCTTCACTGTATCACATATCATGTGTAGCATTGGAGGCCCCAAGGAGGACTGGTCTCTGAATAGGACTGGTATTCTGAATCGCTGTCTCGTGATGCTCATTTCCTTGTGCAATCCCCTCCCCTTGTGCATAGGCTGGAGCTAGTAATTTGTTTCTAATAATTAGAATATGGCAGAAGTAACAGGATGTCACTTCCAGGATTAGTTTACAGCAATGGGATGAATTGTCTGTGTTGAAGTATTCCCAGTACCTGTGATTGTGACCTTATTTGGAGATAGGGAGGTAAATAGACACAGAGAGACACAGAGAGAATGACATTCCAACACAGAGAGAGACACACAAATAGAAGGGCACACAATGACAGAGAGGGAGATGGGAGTGATGCATTTGCAAAACAAAGAACGCTGAGGATTGCTGGCGACACTAAGAGAAGGGAAGGAAACAGCTCCTCCCCTCGAGTCTCCAGAGAGAGCATGGCCCTGCCAACACCTTGATTTTGGATTTCTAGCCTCTAGAACTGTGAGATAACACATTTCTGTTGCTTAAGACACCCAGTTTTTGGCATTTTGTTACAACATCCCTAAGAAATGAAAACAATTACAAAAGGTTTTAGTTTCTTGTTGACACTCTTTCTTTCATTATCAGCTTGTTCATTTGATGAGCAAGCTGCCATTTTGGAGAGGTCCAGGTGACCAGGAGCTAAGCACCCACAGGCCCCAAGGAACTGAGGTCCTTGGTCCAGTAACCTCAAGGAACTGAATCTTATCAACCAGCACTTCAATTAGCAGGGTAGTTGATTCTCTTTCAATTGAGCCTTAAGAAGAGGCCTTGACTGTAGCCTTGTAAAAGATCACCTTGTTAAATTGTGGCTAGATTCCTGACCTATGGAAAGTCTGCTTGCTTGGCCAGGTGCAGTGGCTCTAATTCTAGCACTCTGGGAGGCTGAGGCCAGTAGATTATTTGAGCTCCGGAGTTTGAGAACAGCCTAAGCAAGGACAGAGACCCTGTCTACTAAAAGTAGAAAGAAAAAAAACTAGCTAGGCACTGTGGCATGCACCTGTATTCCCACCTATATGGAAGGCTGAGGCAAGAGGATCACTTGAACCCAGGACTTTGAGACTGCTGTGAACTTTGATGATAATACCATGGCACTCTACCCAGGGTGACAGAGTAAGACTCTGTCTCAAAAAAAAAAAAAAAAAAAAAGTCCTATGTGTGTGTGTTGTTCTCAGCTGCTAAGTTTTGGACTAATTTGTTATGTAGCAATAGATAACTAATATGTCATTCTGTCTATTGTTTACGACATAGGTGAAAAGGCTGAGCAACCGCCAATATTCATTTTCTTTTTCTTTTTTTTTTTGAGACGGAGCCTCAAGCTATCCCCCTGGGTAGAGTGCCATGGCATCACGCTCACAGCAACCTCCAACTCCTGGGCTCAAGCGAGTCTCCTGCCTCAGCCTCCCAAGTAGCTGGGACTACAGGCGCCCGCCACAATGCCCAGCCATTTTTTGGTTGCAGCCATCATTGTTGTTTGGTGGCCTGGGCTGGGGATTCGAACCCGCCACCTTAGGTGTATGTGGCTGGCACCTTAGCTGCTTGAGCCACAGGCGCCGAGCCCAATATTCATTTTCTACAAAGAATATTACACTACTGTAATGCAGGGTGTCCCCAAAGTTGCCCTACACAGGAATATGGGCAAGTGCAGCCAAATATACCTTTAGTTACAAAATATTCACTATAACATTTTACAAAGAGGTGACCAACATGTAGAGCATAGGTATGTGTGTGTATATATATATATATATATTTTTTTTTTTTTTTGACAGTCTTAGTCTGTTGCCCTGGGTAGAGTGCCATGACATCATAGCTCACAGCAAACTCAAACTCTTAGGCTCAAGCAAACTTCCTGCCTCAGATTCCTGAGTAGTCGAGACTATAGGCACCCACCATGATGCCTTGCTAGTTTTTCTATTTTTTTGGTAGAGATGAGATTAGGTAGAGACCTTGCTCTTATGTAGGCTGGCCTTGAACTCCTGAAAACAGTTAGTAATGGATATTTTGCAAATAATATATTTACAAAATAATATTTATTATTATTAATTAAAAAATAATATTTGAACAGTATATTTCGTTACGAGTTCCCATTTTTCCAATGTCTGGCGATTTTAGGCACATCCTGTATTGTAAGTGGTAACATAATATTTAGGAGTATAGTGCAATAATATATAGTATTATTAAAGTATTTAGTATTATAATAGATAGTGCTCTAATATTATGTTATAAGGTACTATAGTGTTATAATACTGTATATTCATAGCCTGATCTTTAGGTCAAATGTGCTCAACGTCACCAATCCAAACAGGTTTAGTGACAGGGTAATTTGGAACCCTATAATTTCAGCTTTCAAAAGACACTCCAATATCTCTTTTTCTAATTTCTGGGATATTCTTGATGACATCTGGCAAAGTCTACATATCCTATTCTGGAATGTGACAGAATGAGGAAGCATCTCTTAAATCTTTTCGCCCTGGCCTTGCAGCATCTCGTCCGTCAGGGTAAATGTTGAGTCCCTGACAGAGGAGGATCACTGGAATAGTAAAGAAAGGAAATGCAGCATGAAAAAAATAAAAACTAACTTTAAGCCCATAGGTACAGGCTAGATTATTAGGTGAAAGCTGGAGCAGAAGAGAACAGGCCAGTCTTTAGTTAGATTACCTGAGGCAGAAGCAAGGCCCTGGAATAATACTGGGGATGTTGTGGTACCCCGTGCAGCTCCCTCTTCAGGGCCAATATACTCAACCCCAGCTGCGGGGAATGGGACATTGATGGCTCACAGCTGGACTGGAATTGCCCCTCTGCCATAGGTTACACAAGTTATCCTCCCCCTCAGAGTGGCCTATGGTCAATGCTAGGCTAATGGGGGATACAAAGCCCAGGCCCTCCCCTTAATTTGGGAAATTTTGAATGTCAATCCTGGATCCCATTTCCCCATAGGATCTGCTGAGGGCTCTGTTTCCACTATCCTCAGATTAGCTTCTCTCTCTAACTATGATTTTAGTATAAGTGTATCCTGTGTGACGTTTGGGATATACTTATACTAAAAAATTATTTGTTGTGTATCTGAAATTCAAAGTTAGATCTCACCTAATGTGCACATAACATGCCCCCTAGGTGAGGGGCTCTTCTACAAATGGAATTTTACCCTGGAAGTGAGAAAATGTAACCTAAGTATTGTACCCTCATGTTAATTTGGATTAAGTTAAAAAAATCAAATTTAACTGGGTGGCCTGTATTTTTAGTTGCTAAATCTGACCACTCTACTCCTGAAAGTACTTTTTTCTGATAAAGCTTCTGTACATGACTTTTTATCTTGAATCTTTCCAGGGAACCCAAGTAAGACAAGGAGGAAGAAACAGAGTAACAGGGGCACAGTTTTTGCTCAAATTGTATATGAAAACACCACACTGTACCCCATGATTGCATTAATGTACACAGCTATCATTTAATAAAAAAAAAAAGAATCACAATCACAAAGTCTGCTGTGGACTGTTTACTAATGCAATGCTATCCAGTGCCTATTAAGAACAGGTTTCGAAAAACTCTATTTGTCCCTTCCTTTGCACTCATATTTTCATGTCTTATAATCCTCAGGTGAAAACAAATTCCCAATCTGTAGACAAACAGGAACCAGAGATACTTGTTCTGCTCCAGTAATGAAGCGAGGTCCAGTGATACAGTTATTGTCAGAGTCCTCACTGCCCTTAGTCGTGTTCCTCCCTTATAACTCATCATATCTTCCCTGTAGTTTCCAAAGTTAAACAAAATTATTACACAGATGTTGGGGAGACCACTACGGATCACTTCTTTGTAGTCACCACCCTTTTCAGAGATATCAGATGTAGATAACTTTCCCCCTATTTTGTGTATTTTTGGAGAAAAGTTAAAAAACTATTTAATAGGAATACATAATCAAACATTTTCTTTCACGGATTCCACATACATAGTAGGTTGATAATCATCTTAAATGCTCTAGTTTTACATAACATTTATACTATACTAGAATAAATGTAAATAGTAAAAATAATTTTAATTCTACGTCTGTAAATAACATTTTTCCAAGTGTCGCTCTACAGACTATTGGTCCCATATAACTAGTACTCTAAACTTTCTGAAAAATAGCTTATATGGCATTCCAAACACCATAAACCCTTCTAATGAGAGATCATGAATTATTTTTTTATGCCCTAGGCTCAACAGGCACTCAATAAATGATAGCTCGAATAGTAGCAGTCATTTATTAGAACAAACATGCTATATGTCCTAGTCTGTTTGGGTTAACATAACAAAATAGTACAGACTGGGTAATGTATAAACAACAGAAGTTTATTGCTCACAGTTTTTGAGGCCAGGAAGTTCAAGATCAAGGCGCCAGAAGATTCAGTGTCTGGTGAAGTCCTGCTCCTCACAGATTATGCTTCTCATGTGGTGGGAAGGACAACCGGGCCCCCTCTAGCCTCTTTGATGAGGGCACTTACCCCATTCATGAGGGCAGGGCCTTCGTGACCAAATCACCTCCTAAAGGCCCTATTTCTTAATATTATTATGTTGGAGATGAGGTTTCAACATATGAACTTGGGGGAGAAACAGACCATGGCACCACAATAATTGGATAACACTGTATGTTTATGTTTAAAATAGTGATTTAGATGGTCAGGGCAAATGCTCAAATCGAATGAGTTGCAGTAACATGAGTTAGGCACGTTCGGACTTCGAGTCATATTTTAATTCTACCTTTACAAATGCTTTCTTACCTTCTTTTATTCTTTCCAGATATGTCTGCATGTATTTATTCACCATCTGAACATTCTTAACGACTTCGTTCCATACCCACCATTTGCTGTGAAATCCATCGATCATATACCAGTTCTGATGCTGCTCTTGATAATATTGCCGAATCACCTCAACATTTTTCCGGTACTTTGCATTCCTGACAGCTATAATCTGTGCGCTATTGTGCAACGGGTAAGGCAAACTAATAGAGGAACAGAGAAGGAATAGAAAAAGCTGCTGAAAACATACTTTCTCATACTGTTTTCCTTTGGATGATTAAATTTCATTCCTCTATGGTTGTTTTCATCGTGTACATTACCTTTCTTCACTTTTTTTTTCCACCATCAATCTTTTGAAAATCTCCTTGGAAGGCACAACCAACTCTAAGATGATCATGGGGATGACTGACCTTTTTTCCAAGAGATTCATCTGATGTTCAGTTGTGGGGTATCCATCAATGACAACACTATCAAAGAGAAATGTGAAAATAAAACCCCCCCATTTCTTGTCCTCTCACGCTTCCCTTCTGTCTTCCAGAACCAGCCTATCTCTTTGGGAGTAGCCCATCCTTTTCCTTAGGTAACTTGATTTTTCTTCTTCACACTTTACCCATTTCATCTCTACATCTTTAAACGCGGTCATCTTTAACCTCCAAAGCCATGAGGTGGGCAGTAGACACACAAACACAGCTCAGAAGGTGGAGGTAGGAGAGAGCTCTGAATTCACACATGCTTAGCATCCTAGAGCTAGGTTTTGGCAGAATTCAAGAAATAACATACTACCTTGAACACTGTGTTCGATTGGTGCAATTAATCTAAGCATGAAACCGGAGGAAGACTATAGCTTTTAGAGGCAGACATTAGATTTGAAATCTGGCTTGAACTTTGGGAGCCTCGATTTTCAGTAAAATAGGGGAAATGATATTGAACCCTTAGAGACGTTTTAAGGATTGGAGATAGGTATGTAAAACAGCCACGACAAGGCCTGACATGTATTAGGTAGGCAATAAATAGTATCTTAGAGAGAAAGCAGATATGGGAAAAATTGTGTTCTAAGCTTGCTTTGGTAGTAAATGTTGTGTGAGGAGGCTGGGGCCACAGAAGGTGAGACGGAGAATTGGTGAGAAGAAGCCTATTGCATCTGGGGGAATCATTCTATCAGGACCCATGATGCCTGCCACTGAGCCAAGATGACACAGAGAATTTAGGTTAGTCTGACAGTCTGAGATACTGCGATTATTACTATCACACCTAAAGGAGGATAAAAAAAAATTTTGGAGGAGTGGCCACCCAAGTCAGGACAGTCACTGTGAGGTGGGAGCAAGCTGTGCAGGCTGTCGGCCTCAGGGGGGCTTGTCTGGCATAAGTCATGGATGCCCTCCCTCTGTGCTCTCCAGCTAAGTCTCTAGGCACTAGTGTTAAATTCCACAACACAGGGGATTTTAAATTCACAGAGCTAGTCTGGCCTAAAAAAGAATGTTTGAGGGTGCCGTTGTTGTCTTTTTAATTAGAGAGTAGCTCAACTCCTGTGTCCTGTGAAAGGTCACTCAGTTGCCCTCAGGATTAAGGAAATACAGGGTGACTGAGCAGTCTTTGTCCCAGTACTAAGGTGAAATAAGAACTTTTTGACTCAATTAAGGTCACCTCACCGAGATCTTCCTACATTAAGCTGAACACCAGGAAGGAGGTGACTCAGTTTGGATAAGTCCTGGGGCCTGGGGAGGTGGGAAGACACCCCAGAGTCTGCTCCCCTGTAACTGAAATTAGGAGAACTGTCCAGGGATTTGATTAAAGGAAGGGAACAGACGTCCCTACTATAAAAACAACCTTGAGTAAATCAGGAGGATTCTAAGTGCCCATCCCTAAGGCCTTAGGTGTTACTGGGGAGGTAGTTACTACTGCGTGTGGCCAGTGGCTGTGTTGGGGGCAGCACAGGCTGAGCAGAGGGGTGTAAGCTGAAGAGAGAGCGCAAGCACCCAGCTCTATTGTCCAAATGTAGCTTCAAGAGAGAGATTGCTGCCTGTGGGGAGAGCTGACACCATGTCCCCAGGACCAGCACCCTCTGGTGGTCAGGGCAGGGCCCCTCCTCCCTCACTCTGCAAGGCAAGGAGAAGCCCTCTCAGGTGAGCCTCATTTGTGGACTGTAAGCCTGGAGGCTTTTGGACAATTCAGAGCTTGCAGGAGGTTGTAAAATGTTAACAGTCGGCTGATCTGGCATGTGAGTTCTCAGGCCAAGTTGTGGCTTGACAGGAAATTAAAATACACAACCATATAGGTGCCCGGAGTTTGAGAGACAGATCACATCCTTTACAAGAACCTCAAACCCTATTTAAGATGAGTGTTTTTAAATTCCTGATGAGAAACTTCTTGACCAACTGCTCCCTCCTCTGACCCCCGTCTCTTACCCTGCGGTATTGCACACGCTTTCCATCAGACAGAGCTCCAAGGCTTGGATAGCCAGTTCATCGGGTACTACCATTCCTTTGTAAAGGTGCCAATTCAACATCAGTGCCAGCTCTGTTTCTGGGTGGTAGGTTAATATACGCCGCAAAGCATCCCCGATGGATAAGCGCTTTAAGCCAAGGTCGCTTGCAATTCTTCTGGCAACTGAAAAACATAAAACTTTAAACTCATTTCATTTCACACATTTGTCGGTTAATCTTAGTTTTAGACTCTGGTTAATGGCATCAAGAGCAAGCTAATCGTCACTTTCCGTAATGAATTTTTGAAAATTACAATTGCCACATGAATTAACTGCCAAAGGTCAGGTCAGTTGCTATCAGTACTTCAGGGGTGTGGCTGATAGATCTGGTTAAGGAGCCAACTCTGTGGGTTTTTTTTTTTCTTGTAACCAAACCGATGTTTAAGGATTTTCTTCCTTTTGCATGAGTTACCAAAATATTTGAGAGCTTTGCAAGGACTCTTAAGTGTTTTCAATCTTTGAAAACCCAAATAACAATGTAACTCCTGTTTCACTGCATCGTACCATCTCCCTGTCGTCTGTCCACTTACAGACTTTATGCTGGAATCAGGAGAGCAGACTCTTTATGGTTAGGCCTCATCCAGTCCTCTAGGAAATAATTTAAAATTATTTAAAAATAATAATGGCATACCTGACATTTCTTTCTTTTGAGACAGAGCCTCATTATGTTGCCCTCAGTAGAGTGCCCTGGCGTCACAGCTCACAACAACTTCAAACTCCTGCTCTTAAGCAATTCTCTTGTCTCAGCCTCCACGTAGCTGGGACTACAGGCACCTGCCACAACACCTGACTATTTTTTTGTTGCAGTTGTCATTGCTGTTTAACAGGCCCAGGCTGGGTTCGAACCCGCCAGCCTGGGTGTGTATGACTGGTGCCCTACCCACCGAGAGCTACGGGTGCCACCCCATACCTGACATTTTAATAGTGATTTATAGCCTATGAGGAATTTCTCTCCTGTACCCTTATTTGATATTTTCAACTATTTCATCAAGTGGGTGGAATGGATGTTGAAATTCCAATTTTATAGATGGGGGGAATTGAAACCCACTAGAATGATTTTCCTGGGTCATACAGATGTTGCCATGGGCCAAAAGAGGACTCAAATTGGCTTCTCCTAAGTGAGACTACAGACTAGTGGCTTCCAGTCACAATTAAATGTGGGAGCACTCTGTCATTGTCTATATGCCCTGCTTGAGCACTGTGTGGAGTCGGCAGTGGGTAGCGGATGCTGGCAGCCTCTCTCATCCCATGAGGAACGTGATGGACTGACCAGGAACCACAGTGAAGGCCACCCACCAGAGAAGGCCCTGGGGGAGCTCTTAATCCCAGCTTTGCCACAACTACTGGAAACAGACCTATTTTTTTTTTTAAGTTCTAAAATTAAACTTTTAAAATTTGACATCTTTTTAAAAAAATTAAGTGCCATTTCGGCAAAGAAATGAGAAATCAGATCGTCATGCCTACATTTTCACCTTTTGCGCTGGATGTGGAATCTTGCTATGAAGGTCAAAGTTCTGCTGTTTGGGGGAAATGACATCTTTTTGAACATTTAGGATACATTTAGACTCTTATGTCATGTTAAGAAGTTTGAAAGGGCAAACTAAACTTTTCATCTAAAGAGCTGGAACAGAAAACTCTCCTTTATGACTCTTGGGGACAAATCAGCCTTTGACCTTATCTCTCCCCTTCATTCTCTAGCCAGTCAGTAGTGAGGGCTTCTTGCTTTCCTTTGACATTTCTCCTGTACCCGTCCTTTCCATTCTGCTTGCACTGTGACCAACCACTGTTCCTGTTATCCTGTCATCTGGAAATACTATAACCAACCAATTTTTGGACTATTTGCTTTTAAAAAAAAGAAAAACTACAGCTCAAAGTCATACAAAACTCAGACATTACGGGAATACAGTTTATCAAATGCTTTTTCCAGCAATGATTAAGATAATTAGTTTTTTCTTTTTAAGCTATTAATAT